CTGCCACTAGATGGCTCTGTTCCCAATATGATATGGAAAACGGAAATTGTAATTGGGCATTAGGTTCCCTTTTAGAAAAATTCCTCTTTAGTGATATCATCAGTGTCCATATAAATGCCAGTTAGGAGGGTTCCACTCTGTCTGATGGGGCATGGGAGCCAAACACCCTGAGGTTGTCAGGATGTAGTTGGCTGCTATCCTAAAGGGCCCTTGGTGGGGCTGAAGTCCCAGGCAAGGTGGTAAAGAACAGCTGTAGTCACCCTGTCTCCCTTGACCTTCTTCTACAGGTCCTGTAGTGGGGTGCATAAGGCCTTGGATGCCAGACCGGAGTTCTCTGATGTAAGTAAGGGTGAGGCCTGGGAACAAGTGTGCCATCCGGGAGCACGCCTGGCTAGGCAGAGCTATGGAAGAGACATTGGGAGAGACTGGCACACCATTGAGGACACCTTCAGCCTACTTGGTGAGGGTAGCTGAATGCTGCGAGCTTAGTATACATGGAGGAAGTGGTCCCAACTCTGTGGTGCTCCCAAGGAGAGGAGGTGTCCAGTACTTGGAAGAGCTGTTATCCTCTATTTTTCAAAGCGGAGAAAGGAGATGAGGGAGATGAGTCTGGCAGCAACCAGGAGGCTGTTCAGATTTCGTAGATCTGCTATCTTTCCCCAGTGCATAGATTGAACAGGTGCTGATGCAGCCGTCACGCCTGCAACGATACATGATCAGACAAGTCTGTAAACTCTTTGGGCTGGAGTTCCCTTATGTCCTGGATGCCCTTTTCTGTTTTCTTTAATCACAATGAAATTACTGGTATGAGGTGGCAATGTGGGATCACCTCTGGGTTCCCAAGCAGCATAGGGTGCTCGTCGAGAGAACTTCAGCAACTGATGAGTTTCACTGCATTTATCAGGAGTGGAACAATGGGCAGCATATCCACATTGACAAGGTGGTGGTGTCCTGCCCCAACAGTGGGGAAATCCATGTTGTTAAATGGGTCCTAGGTATGGAGGAGTGAATGGAGTACAGTGATCCCAACTACTATATGTGAAACCTCTATCTTCCTTTTGCTGTTGCCATTTATCGTGCTGTACTGCTGTATAAATATGAATACTGTGTATGTACCTGATATTTATTGTTATGGTATGATTGAGAATGTTTGCTTTGTTAAAATGTTTTGTTAACAAGTTTTGTAAGTAAATCTACTCTATGTGTGGTGCTGGGCATTTAGACTTTCAAGCATACGTTTTGTTGTATAACACTGTACAAGTTTACATATCAAGTATTTGGACTGTTACAGTCATGGCCAAAAATATTGGCACCCCTGCATTTCTGTCAGATAATGCACCACTTTGCCCTGAAAAATGTTACAATTACAAATATTTAGACATTCTTGTGTTTATTTCTTTTGTTTGTATTGGCATGACACAAAAAAGCGGAGAAAAACAAAAAACCAAATCTGACACATTCCACGCAAAACCCTGGACAGACTTAATGGCACCTTCTCAAAATTGTAAGAAAAAATTGCATTCCAAGTTTGTGATGCTCCTGTAATTTGTAGTTAAACAAACCTGTGTCAAATAACAGGTGCTGACAATATAGAAATCACACTGGCAACCAGTTAAAATGGTGAAAAATGTACTCAACCTTTCTGTTGTGTGTCTCTGTGTGCCACATGGAGCATGGAGAACAGAAAGAGTAATAAAGAATGGTATGAGGATTTGAGAACAAAAGTGTGGAAAAGCCTGGACAATCTCAAGGTTACAAGTCCATCTCCAGAGATCTTAATGTTCCTGTGTCCACTGTGTGCAACATTGTCAAGAACTTTACAGCCCATGGCACTGTAGATAACCACTCTGGACGTGGACAACATAGAGAAAAATTGATCAAAGATTGCAACAAAGGACTGTTTGAATGGTGGCTAATCAACTTCCAGACAAGGTACAGGGTATAAATGTGTCAGCTCACACTATACATCGCCATCCGAATGAAAAGGGATGCTATGGAAGGAGACTCAGGAGGACCCCACTGCTGACACAGAAACATAAAAAACATAAAAAAAAGCCAGGTTGGAATTTGCTAAAACTTACCTGAGGAAGCCAAAGTCCTTTTGGGAGAATGTGCTGTGGATGGACGAAACAAAATTACAGCTTTCTGGTAAAGCCCATCATTCTACTGTTTCAGAAAAAAGCAATCAAAGGCCTTTAAAGAAAAGAATACAGTCCCTGCAGCCAAATATGGTGCAGGTTCACTGATGTTTTGGGGTTGCTTGCTGCTTCAGGCACTGGATGTCTTGACTGTGTGCATGGCATTATGAAATCTAAAGACTACCAAATAATTCTGGCGTGCAGTGTAGGGCCCACTGTCAGAAAGTTGGGTCTCCAACAGAGGTCATGGGTCTTACAGCAGGACAATGACCCAAAGCACCCAGAAATGGTTTCAGACAAAGTGTTGGAGAGTGCTGAAATGGCCAGCAATGAGTCCAGATCTCAGTCCCATAGAGCACCTGTGGAGAGATCTCAAAACAGCAGTTGGGAAAAGAAACCCTTCCAATCTGAGGGACCTGGAGCAGTTGGCAAAAGAAGAGTGGCCCAAAATTCCAGTAGAGAGGTGTAAGAATCGTTTTGATGGTTAGAGGAAGCAATTAATTACAGTTATTTTTTCCAAGCGGTGTGCTACGAAATAAATTGAAATTGGGTGGGGGGGGGGGCTGAAATAGGGTGCCAATAATTATGGCCTGTGCATTTTTGGGGTATACATGGAATGTGTCAGATTTGGCTTTTTGTTTCTCCACTTTTTTGTGTCATACCAGTGGGTGAAGTTGTGCATTATCTGACAGAAATGCAGGGGTGCCAATATTTTATACCTCATGCTGTTATTGTTTGTTATGTTTTGTTATATAAGTTTTTCAAGCCATCTTCCTGTGTGTGGGTTTCTATATGGCACAGCAATCTGACATACATAAAAAGGGGGGGGGGGGGGGGGGGGTTGCAGGTGCAGTTAGCCTGTCTGCAACTAGATGACTCTGTTTCTAGTATGGTATGGAAAAGTTGTAATTGAGCGCCAAATTCCCTTTTAAAAAAAAAATCCTCCTTAGTGATGTCATGGGTGTAGTTATTGTCCATATAAATGCTAGTTAGGAGGGGCCTAATCTCTTTGATGGGGTGTGTGAAGTCAAACACCTCTGAACTGTCAGTATGTAGTTACTATTCTAAAGGGCCCTTTGTAGGGCTGAAATCCCAGGCGAGGTGGTACAGAACTCAGTAGGAATAGCTATAGTTACCCTGGGAATGAGTGGGTAATCTGGTAGCGCGTGCCCAACTGGGCATAACTACGGAAGGGACATTGGGAGCAGCGCTGTGAATAAGGGGGTACCACCAGTCCTGTTGTAAAGGGCCCAGGCCAGCAGGGCGGCCCAAGCAGCTGCATGAATTGGAATGTGGCTAGGAAGGGTGATTGGCATGCGGGGGGGAGGCAATTACTGGAACTGATCCCCTGTATACCCTCTCTCTGCAGCAGCTGAAAACTGGCTTCTTCTTCTCTCCCTCCCACATTTAGCTGCTGCAGAGAAAGCCATACAGGGGATCGGTTCCATTAATTGCCCCCCTGCCGCACCCATCACCCCCCCTGTGCCTCATACTTTTCCCTCTTCTGCCCAAGCCCCTATGTGTGCCCCACGTCTGCAGTGCTGCCAGGTTCCATCCTCTCCTTCCCACTGCCAGCTGCAAGCACACAATAGGATCCTTCAGGATTGAGAGTGCGGAAAGGGTCCAATAAATATGTTACCAGTCTCTTCCTTTCCTGAATGAGCACAATGAGTGATCAGTACTGATTACTCTCTGTGATAATTTATAACTGAAGCAATGTAAAATGTGTTTTTTTGGGGTAGGGGGGGCCTGTTAGGTTGGCTGTATGGGGCCCCGTGGTTTCTAACAGCAGCTCTGATTGGGAGAGACTGATATACTAATGAGGGCATCTTGATTCTGCTTGGCAAAGGAAGCTGAATACCGGGGATTTAACATACATAGGGGAAGTGGTCCCGACTCCTTGGTGCTCCCAAGGAGAAGGTGTAAAGGAAAGATGGCTTACAATGTGTGTGCTTGCATTTTGCGCAGAAATGACAGCTACAGACTGTCTACTCTAGTGCATAGCATTCCGCACCAAAGAATTCTGATAGTATGTGAAATGTGATGTTAGATGTTACAGAAATCCTTGTGAAGTTACAGTAAAGTGCAGAAAGTGGATTTTATGAAGACCTCAGGCAGGGGACATTGAGAGTGGGCCCATGAGCAGGAGAGTGACAGTATAAAGGGTTACATCAACAGAAGGTGGGTAGCTGTCCTACAAGAATCTGGGTGGGGACTTGGTCAGTTTGGTGCCAACAGCTGCACAATCCTGGTACCCCTTTCACACACACAAGACACTTTCACAATATCTGTCTCTGTATGCCAATTTCACAAGATACAAACTGCCGGTAATTAATTTTGAATGTGGTGCAGGTGTTGCTCCACAATGCGGAAGTGTAGCAAATTAGAACTACATCAATTTGGTGCACAAGCCACTGTCAAAACCAAAACTGTTATGGATGTTTTCTGAATTGGGCGCAACATGGTAACAAGAGCAATAAACACCAGAAAAGTGGTGTAGCAGTTTCATTAATTGCACAAAATCTGTTCTTGACTTATGCTTTGCAGTCTTTTTGCTTTAAAATCAAAATAGAAAATTCATTAAAAAGAAGAAAAAAAAAATTGTGATCAGGGCTTCCCTTGCCCTAGCCACATATGAATGATGCTGCCATCATATATAGACTAAACTTGTTTTTGTTATTTCCCAATGATTTACTATTATAAAACTGCTCTGTGTCTTCAGTCTGTACAGCGTATAGGCTGTTTCGGCTCTAGCTTGGTAATTATGTAACTAGAGGTAAAATACTCCAAAACTAGCTTCTTAGTCACAGAGTCCGTCTGTGTTTTAATATCACGCATTGCTCATTGTACCTTTCCTTGTAGGGTACAGAGGTCATCCCTTTCCTTACATCTGTTTTGTATGACAAGACTCAGTGGAAGACTCCTTATGAATTTAACCCAAATCACTTTTTGGATGCTAATGGGAAGTTTGTAAAACAAAATGCATTTATGCCCTTCTCTGCAGGTAGGTCACTATTGATACTTCATATTTAACATTATAATCAAATAATTCTCTGCTACTAGACTTGGAGACTCTCGTTCTTTAAGCTCTCTCTGCAGCCAATAACAGCTAATTTTTGGAGTTGGAAACTCCAAATAGAGGTTGGGGTGAACCTCCCCACTACAAGCCATTATGGAATATACCCCCTTCCCATTTGTGTTCATGGATGCTTTTCTGGCTACATATAGTGTTTAAGGATGTTAACACTGCACCAGGTTGAAGTGAGGAAGAGCAAAGCACACGTTTTGAGTAAGAGGCAACCATTAATATTTGCAGCACATGCTGGACTTTAATTGGTCCTTAAACTACAATCATCCTTTGAGTGCTTTGAATATATTTTGACAGGAGTATATCTCTGCTATCAAAGGCCTCTGCACTGTGAGGTTTTTAGTGATGTTAAGGTGCTTACAGGCAAGTCTGTCCAAACAGCTAAGGTCAAATGAGAAAAAAATTGAGTGCTGTGCACTTTCTGCAGTCTGTTTTTAGTACAAAAAAAAATTCAATTGGGCTGTTTTTTCCTGGCTAAAGAATATGTTTTTTTTTCTATAAAGAAGCCAATAGCGGTTCTATGTTCCACATCTAGTGGCGATGTCCAATAGTAACTAAATTTTGGATCCGCATATTTAACTCTACACGGTGACGGGGGTGAATATTCGTCAAGCCCCGGAGATGGTCCTCTTCTATAAATGTCCAATTACAGTACCAAAAAAAGCCCTTTTATTTCTTACTTATATGCTGTTAGCAGCAAGAATCACTATTGTTAAATATTGGAAGAGGTCAATTATTCCGCTTGAATATGTTAAGAACAAATTGAATTGGATCATGATTAATGACAGACTCACCTGTATTCTACACAAACAATACTAACAAATTTGCTAAAACATAGGACCCATGAATTTAATACATTTCCGTGCCTTGATATTTCCCAATTTGGCCCTTTTCTTTTTTTCTCATTTCTTTCTTGAGGTTGTATAGGTTTTGGTAATATTTTGCAAAAGTGTTAGCTATATCTTGTGGGTTTTGGGTATTCGTGGATGGGTGTTTTAATTGAAGCTATTTTGGATTTCAGCCGTTTTTGTTTTATTGTTTTGGATAATAATGAGCTGGCTTTATTACCTAGTGAGTAGAATTTTGCCTTCATTTTTTGGAGATTTAGATCATATTTGTAAAGTAGGAGGGATCTTAATTTGTTTCTATCTACTGTAAGAGATGAAGAGTTTGATGGGTCTGGGGATTTTTAGTTTTTTTTCTTCATTTGTTTTGATTGAGGCGAGAAGTTCATCTATTTGTTGGGTTCTATTTTTGGTGATACGGACGTTTAGTTGTATCAAAATACCTCTCCTGTATGCTTTATAAGTTGACCATAGAATGGGTATGGATATATCAGGTGTATCGTTAAGTTCAAAAAATGTCTTGTGTGCATCTAGTATTTGTTGCTTGTAGTCTCGGTTTTTCAACAGGGTTGCGTTCAATCGCCATATTCGGGGTATCGACGAATGTTGCTTGCCGTCAAGAGAGATAGTGATTGGAGCATGGTCTGACCAGGTGATGGTGTCAATCTTGGAGGAGGTGACGTGTTGTAGAGTCCATTTATCGGTGATGAAGAAATCGATTCTGGAATAGGATAAATGGGATGGAGATTAGTAGGTATAGTCCTTTTCTGTACTGTGTTGGCACCTCCAGATATCATAAAGAACGTTGGAATGGAGGAATTGGTTGAAGGACTGTTTTGAAGATCTTTTGTTGGATGAGGAGTCCAGAACAGGATTACCGATAATGTTAAAGTCCCCGCCGATGAGTAGTCTGCCTTTTCTGTGTATAGTAATGATGGAGTTAAGTTTATTGAAGATTAGGGTCATAGATGTTCACCAATGTGTATGGAGTATCATTGATTTTGCAGATCAATATGTGGTAGTGGGCTTGTGGGTCTGCTGTTTCTGAAATGAATTGGAACTGCAGGGAGTCTCTTATGGCTGTAATGACGCCATTTTTCTTTTTAGGGTTTGTTGCCATATACATTGTGGAGAGGTGGAGAATGTTGAGCTTAGGAATTTTGGGCGAGGCGAAGTGGGTCTCCTGCAGGAATTGGATGTCAGGTTGTATGGAGCGGATTTCTCTCGAGAGCAATGACCTCTTGAAAGGGGAGTTGAGACCTCGAACATTTAGTGAAGTTATAGTAATCATTTTGTTGATTGTAGATTGTTTGGATCTTGTAGCGATGGTGTTTCAGGTATTGTGGAGAGGAGTGAATTTCCATATGATGGGGTTGGTGGACTGCCAAGTATGCAGCTTGGTGAGCTTGGGTTGGTCATAGTTGTAGTAGGAGCATTCAATTGTGTAGAGGGGGTTGTTGAGAGGGGTGGTTCTAGCGACTGTTGACTGGTAGAGTGGGGTATGAACAGGGGTAAAAAGACTTGCAAAAAAAACAAGCAACATGTGTAGCAATGTCTGCTACTGTGTAATGTGGAGGCACGGGTAAGAATAACTCATTCGAGAGCTCATGCTTGAAAAGAACTTGGAAGTTCAACATATTCTGGGATGCCACGGAATTTGATGTTGTTTCGCCTGGAGCGATCTTCTAAATCTGCCAATTTGAGATTGATTTGTTCGATGTCTACCTCATGGTCTGTGTGTGCATCTATGAGGTCATTATGTGCGGTACACATTTCTGCTAGCTTGTTCTCAATATGGCGGATACGTTTTTCTTGTTTTTGAACTGTATTTGAGATAATAATGCTGTCAGGTCATTATGTAGTGTTTGTCACAGAGAAAGAAGCATGTTTTTCATGAAAATCTCTGTGATAGGTTGGTCAGAAGCAGGATAGGAATCGATTAAAGATGGAGCATTAGCTGACAGAATTGTAGCTGAGAGAGAGGGTTGTGTGTCAGAGGGTGATCCTGTGTCCAGTCTGGGCCTGGATTTTGCAGGGCTACTGGATGTAGGTGACGGGGGGGAGAAGACTCACCTGGATCCCCTGGATATAATGGTCCCTTCAGCCTGGCGTCTGGATTGTATTCTGTCTGGTGTGCTGCGTTCTCCCCTTCACGTGCTGAGAGGCCGTTCTGTGTGCAGCCTGCGCCATCTTGGCTGCAGGGGCTGAGTGCAGGGAAGAAGCTTGTCATCTTCCCTGGATGCCCCGGAGTTTTGCGGCGGCAGGTCATAGCCCGTTCGGGTGCCGAGGGGTTAATGGTGTGGTTTATATTCCCTGTGTGGTTTATATTTGCTAACGATCTGGCGGATGGACGGAGCTCACCTCACTGAGCGTCCATCTCTAGAGCCGGCCGCGCATGCGCCCTCCTGCTCTCCAATTTTAGTAAATCAACTCCTTTGTGTCATCAGACAAATGTCAGCGCTAAAAAAAGCTATGGTGCAAGGTTTCACCAAAGCACTCTGCAGGAGATGATGAGCTTTGCTCTGGACTGCTCCCAGGTTGTGACCCTCAATTATACCCAGTGGCAACAGCTGACAGCTTGCAGAAATGAAGCGTGGTACAAAATTAGCCTTGGTCACAAAGCTAGTTACCAAGGACTATTGAGGAACAGGCAGAGGTCATTAACAGGAATCAGCAATGAAGCAGAGTTCACAGAAATAGAGGCCTGGGAACAGATACTTAGAGAGGTCCAACCATTTTTAAAAGATTAGTTCACCTTTTGAAACATGTTACATGTTACACCCATATATTCTTCCTGTCCATATATCTGCATAGCAGATATACTGACAGGTCTGCAGGAGACTTGCATGGCACCAGCAATCTGCTGATCACTGGTGCAATGCTTTACAGGCTCCTGCAGACATAAATAATTAATGCACATTTTTTTGCCTGCAAAAATATGTGCATTTATTATTTTTGACTAAAAGATGAACTTATCCTTTAAATAGCTTTCCCCAAGCTTTCCTGACAGGATTCCAGAGGAAGTGTCCAACAGCACTTCATGATAGGAAAAAGCCAAGGGAGTGTGACAGCATCTAAACACACAGACCTACTGTATGTTAGTTTTTCTAAATTTAGAAAGCGGCTACACAGATGAACATGAATCAAGTTAGGTACAAAACAGTTGACTGATCCTACATGGACTCATCTACAACAAGAACAGTTGAGAACAATGAGATAGGTTGGGTCTGAAGACAATAAAGAGTAAACAATATTTACGGAAATATCTTTTGTAAAATAAATCTTTTAGTAGTCAGACTGTACTCGCATCCAACAAAACATCTTTGGGTAGTTTTAAAGTGATTAGATCCCCTAAGGGAAATGGAAGACATTGTATGAGATTCCTGGATAGATTCTCCTTAGCTGAATGTTAGGACAGTAAGTCATAGCCAGTTCTCAAGGCTAGGAAACAGCTCTACCCAAGAACCCTTGACTATAATACTGTTCTTCCTTAAGCTCCTTTTTTTGTCTAACATACATGTTTTCCTTGATTTTTTTCATTTGCCATGGAAGTCAAAGGGATTGCTATCAAATTGTTCAGAAAAAAATAAAATATTGTAAATTATTTTGCTCTTCCGAATGTTTGATAGGTATTTAGCAGAAGGAGGCCACATCACAGTTTGGTTTTTGGAGTATATTTATTGTAGAAGCAGGCTCTCTTCTACCACTGTACACCATCAATACATTTAGGTCTAATTACTGTATTTTACTTTACTTCCAGACTGCAGAGTGCAGCTTATATCATGCACTCCTCAGCTGACTGAAAATCAGAAAAACAAATTAAATACTGTGCAGTCTTTTGGTGTTTTCAATGCTTGATACTTACAGTCATGTCCACAAATATTGGCACCCCTGCATTTCTGTCAGATAATGCACAACTTCGGCCAGAAAATTGTTGCAATTACCAATGTTTAGGCATTCTCATGTTTATTTCTTTTGTTTGTATTGGTATGACACAAAAAAGTGGAGAAACAAAAAGCCAAATCTGACACATTCCATGCAAAACTCCAAAAATGGACAGGACAAAATTATTGGCACCCTCAATTTAATATTTGGTAGCACATCTCTTGGTAAAAATAACTGAAATTAATTGCTTCCTGTAACCATCAATGAGTTTCTTACACCTCTCTACTGGAATTTTTATACTACTCTTCTTTCGCCAACTGCTCCAGGTCTCTCAGATTCGAAGGATTCCTTTTCCCAACTGCTGTTTTGAGATCTCTTCATAGGTGCTCTTTTGGATTGAGGTCTGTACTCATTGCTGGCCAGTTCAGGACTCTCCAGCTCTTTGTCTTAAGCCATTTCTAAGTGCTTTTTGACACGTGCTTTGGGTCATTGTCTGTTGTAAGACCAATGACTTCTGATGGAGACCCAACTTTCTGACACTGAATGTTATATTGTACCCCAGAATTCTTTGGTAGTGCTTAGATTTCATAATGCCATGCACACGGTCAAGACATCCAGTGCTTGAAGCAGCAAAGAAACCCCAAAACATCAGTAAACCTCCACCATGTTTGACTGTAGGTATTCTTTTCTTTAAAGCCTCATTGCTTTTTCTGAAAACAGTAGAATGATGGGCTTTACCAAAAAGCTGTTATTTTGTTTCGTCTGTCCACAGCACATTCTCCCAAAAGGATTTTGGTTTCCTCAAGTAAGTAACTCCAATCTGGATTTCTTAATGTTTCTGTGTTAGCAGTGGGGTCCTCCTGAGTCTCCCACCATAGCTTCCCTTTTCATTCAGATTGAGATGAACAGTGCGAGCTGACACAGTTGTACCCTGTGCCTTGTCTGGAAGTTGATCGAGGTTCTTTAGCCCCCATTCGAACAATCCATTGTTGCAATCTTTGATCAAATTTCTCTGTTGTCCATGTCCAGAGAGATTATCTACAGTGTCATGGACTGTAAACTTCTTGACAATATGGCGCACAGTGGACACAGAAGCATTAAGATCTCTGAAGATGGACAATGAGATTGTCCATGCATTTCCACAATTTTTGTTCTCAAATCTTCAGACAATTCTTTGCTGTTCTTTTTGTTCTCCATGTTCCATGTGGCACACAAACACACAGCAGAAAGGCTGAGTCAATTTTTCACCATTTTAGCTGGTTGCTGATGTGATTTCTATATTGTCAGCACCTGTTAATTGATACAGGTGAGTTTTATTACAAATTACAGGAGCATCACAATCTTGGAATGCAATTATTTCTTATAATTTTGAGGAGGTGCCAATAATTTTGTCCAGTCTATTTTTAGAGTTTTGCATGGAATGTGTCATATTTGACTTTTTGTTTCTCCATTTTTTGTGTCATACCAATACAAACAAAAGAAATAAACATGAGAATGCCTAAACATTTGTAATTGCATCAATTTTTTGGTTGAAGTGGTGCATTTTCTGACAGAAATGCAGGAGTGCCAATATTTTTGGCCATGACTGCATCTAGTAGAAGGAGACCGCAGCACAGTTTGGTTGTTGGAGAATATTTACTGGCTCACTTCTACCACTCTACTCCATTCATTAATTTAGGTCTAATTCTTTTACATCCAGGTTGCAGAGTACAGTTTGTATCATGCATTTCTCAGTTGACTTTCTTATATCTTTCATAGGAAGAAGAGCTTGTGTTGGAGAAAGTTTAGCCAGAATGGAGCTTTTCCTGTTTTTTACTGGCCTTCTGCAAACCTTCACTTTCTACCCACCTCCAGGAGTCTCCAGAGAAGATATAAATCTCAAGCCTGGCATTGGGTTCACTTTGGTCCCTTTGCCACACTTAGTATGTGCAAAGCTGAATTATTAGTGAAGAAGGGCAACTAAGAAGCAACATGCTTGCTTTATAAACTATACATTTTAGCTAATTTGTTTTTTACATTTTGTGTCATTTTGAAAACTTTTGATATGCTGTTCTTTAAATCTGCAAGGCCACTGAATAAAACCAGTAGTTAAAGACCAGTACTAGGGTAATCTGTAATCCATAAGATTTCTGTGTCTCTTACTAGTGAATATGATGTATTTGCCTACAGGGTGTATCCACTACCTTCAGGCTAACAGTCCCATAATATAGCACTTATCTTAGAGGAGGCACTGGATTGTGAACACCTGTCCTGTACCTGGACCTGAGTGACATTGACACAGTTGGAGACATTTCTTTGGGCTTTATTAAAGACAAAAGCCCTAAAAGGAAAAAGGCTGGTTAAGCAATAAACAATAGAAAGACAGCAATGTGAGGACATCACAGTTTGAAATAAGGCACAATATTGGTTTTGTAGGAGCTATAGGCCCTGTCTAAACTATTGTCCAGTAGAATATGAACTCAGCCCTGCCGGCATTGGGGCCTTTGCTAGCAGTGGAGTACTATCTTTCTGAACTGGAGTGGTTTAATCCACAGCACAGAGAAGTAACACTGCTTCTTTCTGGAAGAACTCTTCACAATCATAAAACACAAGCAACAATTACAAGCTATGGTAGCCAACAGGTCTCTCTTTAAACTGGAACGATGGTGAAGTCATCTCCATCACTATCCGGTCCTTGGATTCCCTTTCCAACTCAGAGTGGCTGTGGACCTGAACCAAGTGCAGTGCCTGAGTAGAGTCAGGCAAAAGGTAGCCCACTGGGCTTTGAGCATACCTGTAAAGCCTGTGTTGGATGATGATCTTCTCTCTGGGTCCCTGTGACACAGCAACTCATTCTCCAGCTCCATGTGATTTTTCTTACAGTAAGGTACTGGAACAGCAAGAAGATTGGAATACTGGCACACTCTGAAACAGCTGCAGACACGAACAGAAAGATACTGGGACTCACTGTGCAGTCAAAAACATGTGGCTTTGGGTTTCTTTAAGCACATTCACCCTAGATGCAGTTGCAGTAGTCATGTGGTTCTCAGCAGCAAAGTCCCCTCTCTGGAGTCCAGGCAGTTAGGCAACATCTGGTCCTAGGCTTCTGGAGCTGCACACAGCAGACTCAAAGGCAAATGTCCTAGTAGCAACCCTGAGCTTCTGTACACACAGACTTCTAGGCTCCAGTAAACCTCAGGGCAACTGCCCACTTCCAGCCCTGTCCCTGGGCTCACTACACTATCCAGACACTTCTGTTTTCCACTAGGGTGCTCAGGGCTTTAGAAGCCCACTCTCCATGCAGGTCCCTGGAACTCTGATCTCTGTCCTTGGGGTTAGCTCTTGGCTGGCCAGAGGCCTAAGGAAGATCATTCTGGCCCAGGGGCCAATGAAGATCCGCTAGGGGTGGTTCAGTCCCCTGGTGGTTGCAGCAGCTACTAAAAATCCAAGGCTGAGGCTGAAGCCAAGTAATGCCTGCCTCTCTTCTGTTAGCCCTGTTGCTAAGGGTGGGTCCAGTCCTCAAAGTCCCGCTCTTTTGCTGGACTGTCACGCACCAGAAGAGAGAAGAAAACTGCAGTTTGTTTACACTGCTAGGTGTCTTAAAGGAGTCCAGCTGGTGCTACAAATGAATAGCTAATTAAAGCTAAAATTAGGAACAGTTTTTGCTGCAATATTTATCTTCAATCCAGAGCTGTCTCCTATTGTACATCTTTTCTCACTCTAAATATCCTTAGTCTGACATCCAGCATCATTCAACCCACTTCCTTTGAATCCAGGTAATACTGGACCTGCCCCAGTTCATGACTGGACAGTGAAAAGAGAAGCAGCAGAGTAACAAGTTCATCTGTCTGTCAGACTGCTTTCTCTTCCTTTCAGCATACTTCTTGTCAGCACAAAAAAAAACAATTGGCTCCTTGTGCTGCTTCCTCCTCTTCCACTTTCACTTGAGCCCTGCTGTATAGAGACCGCAAGGGGCTGATACTAGATCAGATTTAGGAACTTACACTGCTTGCATTTAAATATACATTTGCTCATGTAATAATGAATACAGAGCTGCATTAAACCCCTGTTGGGTTTTAGTACTGTCTGTCACTCCTCTTTCACATCACTTCCTTTTGCAAAGGGAAGTGAGGGTAAGACCACGTTCACACGGGTACTACAGCATACACCTGTGCAAGGACCGTGCTTACCTGCATGGTGATCCACAGGTGTTATGTGCATGCCTGTCAATTGGGATACAGCTGCTGCTCCCAATTTTGACATCCATGCAGGTGCATGGCCACAAACATACATTGCATACGGGGATGTCAAATTGAGAGCAGCTGTGTTCCAATTGACATGAATGGGACTGCCTGCACGGGGATGCGCGAAACACCTGTACATCCCTGTGCGGGTAAACACGGCCCTCAAACGGGTGTAAAATGAAGAAGATAAGAAGCGCCTCTAAGTGCAGTATAGGTAACTTTAATGGGTAACAAATGTAGAACAACTCACATGTATTATGTGTAAAACAGGCTCATGTAAAGCAGGCTCAAGAAGATGGGAGAATGGCTCTGTCCTTGTTTTGACAGCCGCGGCTGCACTCAGGGGATCGTGGATGTAGGAGAGAAGCTGGCTGGCATGTGGAGTCTCCTAAAAATGGCGTCTGGAACGCACAATGAGGCGCGACGTCAGCAGGATGACGTACATGGACCAGCATGCATAGCGACGCGTTTCGGAGCATGCGCTAGACCTCTAAGGGCGGAAGCGCGCTCCCTTATCAAACTCTTTTTTGTGCTGACTGTTGTATATTTAAGTCCTCAGACATGTGTACACTTTAGTTTGCCCATGTGAACAAGGCCTCAAGCTCTCCAGATGGGCTCAGACAGCACTAAAAGGCCAACAGGGATTCTGCTCCTTCTCTGTTATGTCCTATAAAATTAGCCGTGGCTCTGATTGAGCTTTAATATGCTAATTACTTGCTTGTCTAACTGATCATTACACTTCAATACTTTGAGTCTCTAACCCAAAACAAGTATGCACATTACAAATTTTCACACTTCTTTGACCACAGCCACAGGAGAAAATCCTGTGCCCTGCCTGCATTCTGCAGATTAGGACCCTTGTCTTTGAAGGAAAGCAGTTAACTCATTTTAGAGGTCTCACACATCCCCCGCTCAGTCAAGAACCCAAGAATTCTCCAATCAACAGGAATCATGAACTTTGTGAATTGCAAAACTATACGTCTGATTTAGTACCGGGCATGATGGACCTCTACAAAGAGAGAATGGGTCCCCCTGCAGTTGGTGGCAGGGGGGCAGGTTTTTTTTATCTAGGCTGTAGCTGTTTTAAAAAGAAAACCCACAAAAAGAAAGTTAAAAGTCAAACACAATTTGAACAGGGGCTAAAGTCCTTAGAAGACGTCTTCCATAAAATCCTTGAGTCTACACCAACCCATAGAGATAGATTTCCAGCTACACCATACTAACTATTGCACAATTAACTGCAGATTCAAGCCAAGGAATAGAGCAAACAGTTCACTGGCACTTTACCACATATAGGAAGGAGCACTGTATATAAGATGGACCCCTACCCAGTTTAATGGGCTCCTACCCATATGACCACTTTCAAGGAACTTGCAACCTGGCTTGCTGCTATGACTACAACAATTTGTGACCCTATTACTACAATAAAAGTCCCTGAAAAAAGGGGGTGAGTGGGCAGGAAGTTCACCTGATGCCAGATAGCCTATAACAGAGAACTGCTTCGTTCCTTCTTTCAGACCAACTCTGAACACAACATAAATATTATAGGAAAAGTTAAGGTGCGGTTATGGCATGTTAACATTGAAATAGGCGACTTATAAGCATTAATGCCCCCTGAAAGCGACATGCTGCTTAACTTTTAACACAACACAATACTACTGCATCTGTGTGTACTGCGCTTTGTGGTGCTCATTGTAATCTTCATGGCAGGCATCAAAGGGCAGTCATGAGGCTTTAAAAATATTACTTACCTGTCGCTTAAACACAGGGTATTAACACACATGGGAACCAGCCCTCAAAGGAAGATGAAAAATAACTTACTGGCTGGAAGCAAGATGGCACCTGGGTGTTTGGAACACCTTGGCGCCATCTTACTTCCTGACTGGAGTCCTTATCTTTCTGGCCATCTGTAACAGAAACTGCCAGTCCTAGAGTTTTTTTTTGCCTGGGAAGCAAATCTCTATGTATTGTGGAGGGCTTTTTTGGACTGTGTATACATCAGTGTCTTGCTGGTACGGTCCCTGTTCCACTAGCTTGTACTTTTGTGTCATTCCTCCCCTCACTTTTACATCATGGTGGTTGGATATGAACCTTTTCACTCCCTGGTTTTTGGTACTCCATATGGTCATTTTCCTCAGGTCCCTGGATAAGTACACCATCTACACCATCATTCATGGATATTTCGTAGTATGGATGCAAGATGCAAGAAGGGCACATTCATGAAATACGTCAATCTTTTGAGCCATACTTGGCTTCGTGTATTCTATAAGATTGTGACCATCTCACATATGTAAAGTCATGCAAACTATATTCAACAATATTGTTGTATATTGATGGTGTTACTCTAATTGCTTTTAAGGTCTTATTTCATATAAGAGATACAACAAAGGTGTATGTTGAGCCCTTTTAAACGGCTGTGGATTTGTTGTCTCTATGTGGTAATAAAAGTCCCATTGTTACCTCTCCCCTCCTTTTCTCTTTCGTTTAGGAGGTGGTTTTCCTTCTTTGTTGTCTGTTTTTAAGGGATGGAACCCATGGAGACGAATGTGTATGCGACATGAGCCTGCCCTTTCACTTATCTAATTTTTTTCACTTACCCCAGAGTTTAACTTTTAAGTATAACTAAAGACATATGTAGCTATCCTGTCCTAAACAGGGGATACTAGTTAAATATAGTTCTACAGGGTGGTAGACGAGCTAGCTGACTTATAGTCTACTTGTTT